TGCTGCACCTACAACAGCAGCAACTACTACTGTTGCAACAACAACAGCAGCACCTACAACTACTGCTGCTCCGACAACGGTGCAACCTACAACTACTGCTGCACCTACAACTGCAGCCCCTACTACTGTTGCAACAACAACAGCAGCAACTACAACTACTGCTGCTCCAAAAACAACATCACCTACTACAGCTGCACCTACAACAACAGCAACTACTACTGTTGCAACAACAACAGCAGCACCTACAACTACTGCTGCTCCGACAACGGTGCAACCTACAACTACTGCTGCACCTACGACATCACCTACTACTGTTGCAACAACAACAGCAGCACCTACAAGTACTGCTGCTCCGACAACAGTGCAACCTACAACTACCGCCGCACCTACAACTGCAGCCCCTACTACTGTTGCAACAACAACAGCAGCAACTACAACTACTGCTGCTCCAACAACGGTGCCACCTACAACTACTGCTGCTCCAACAACAGCAGCACCTACAACTACTGCTGCTCCAACAACGGTGCCACCTACAACTACTGCCGCACCTACAACTGCAGCCCCTACTACTGTTGCAACAACAACAGCAGCACCTACAACTACTGCTGCTCCAACAACGGTGCCACCTACAACTACTGCTGCACCTACGACAGCAGCACCTACTACTGTTGCAACAACAACAGCAGCAACTACAACTACTGCTGCTCCAACAACGGTGCCACCTACAATTACTGCTGCACCTACAACAGCAGCAACTACTACTGTTGCAACAATAACAGCAGCACCTACAACTACTGCTGCTCCGACAACAGTGCAACCTACAACTACTACTGCACCTACAACTGCAGCCCATACTACTATTGCAACAACAACAGCAGCACCTACAACTACTGCTGCTCCAACAACGGTGCCACCTACAACTACTGTTGCAACAACAACAGCAGCAACTACAACTACTGCTGCTCCAACAACGGTGCCACCTACAACTACTGCTGCACCTACAACAGCAGCAACTACTACTGTTGCAACAACAACAGCAGCACCTACAACTGTTGCTGCTCCAACAACGGTGCCACCTACAACTACTGCTGCACCTACAACTGCAGCACCTACTACTGTTGCAACAACAACAGCAGCACCTACAACTACTGCTGCTCCGACAACAGTGCCACCTACAACTACTGCTGTACCTACGTCAGCAGCACCGACTACTCTTGCAACAACAACAGCAGCACCTACAACTGTTGCTGCTCCAACAACGGTGCCACCTACAACTACTGCTGCACCTACAACTGCAGTACCTACTACTGTTGCAACAACAACAACAGCAGCACCTACAACTACTGCTGCCCCGACAACGGTGCCACCTACAACTACTGCTGCACCTACATCTTCAGCCCCTACTACTGTTGGAAGAACAACAGCAGCACCTACAACTACTGCCGCTCCGACAACGGTACCACCTACAACTACTGCTGCTCCAACAACGCTTCCACCTACAACTACTGCTGCACCTACGACAGCAGCACCTACTACTGTTGCAACAACAACAGCAGCAACTACAACTACTGCTGCTCCAACAACGGTGCCACCTACAACTACTGCTGCACCTATGACAGCAGCACCTACTACTGTTGCAACAACAACAGCAGCAACTACAAGTACTGCTGCTCCAACAACGGTGCCACCTACAACTACTGCTGCACCTACAACAGCAGCAACTACTACTGTTGCAACAACAATAGCAGCACCTACAACTACTGCTGCTCCGACAACGGTGCAACCTACAACTACTGCTGCACCTACGACAACATCACCTACTAGTGTTGCAACAACAACAGCAGCACCTACAAGTACTGCTGCTCCGACAACAGTGCAACCTACAACTACTGCTGCACCTACAACTGCAGCCCCTACTACTGTTGCAACAACAGCAGCAACTACAACTACTGCTGCTCCAACAACGGTGCCACCTACAACTACTGCTGCACCTACAACAGCAGCAACTACTACTGTTGCAACAACAACAGCAGCACCTACAACTACTGCTGCTCCGACAACGGTGCAACCTACAACTACTGCTGCACCTACGACAACATCACCTACTACTGTTGCAACAACAACAGCAGCACCTACAAGTACTGCTGCTCCGACAACAGTGCAACCTACCACGACTGCCGCACCTACAACTGCAGCCCCTACTACTGTTGCAACAACAGCAGCACCTACAACTACTGCTGCTCCGACAACGTTGCAACCTACAACTACTGCTGCACCTACGACAGCATCACCTACTACTGTTGCAACAACCACAGCAGCACCTACAAGTACTGCTGCTCCGACAACAGTGCAACCTACAACTACTGCCACACCTACAACTGCAGCCCCTACTACTGTTGCAACAACAACAGCAGCACCTACAACTACTGCTGCTCCAACAACGGTGCCACCTACAACTACTCCTGCACCTACAACTGCAGGCCCTACTACTGTTGCAACAACAACAGCAGCACCTACAACTACTGCTGCTCCGACAACAGTGCAACCTACCACGACTGCCGCACCTACAACTGCAGCCCCTACTACTGTTGCAACAACAGCAGCACCTACAACTACTGCTGCTCCGACAACGGTGCAACCTACAACTACTGCTGCATCTACGACAGCATCACCTACTACTGTTGCAACAACCACAGCAGCACCTACAAGTACTGCTGCTCCGACAACAGTGCAACCTACAACTACTGCCACACCTACAACTGCAGCCCCTACTACTGTTGCAACAACAACAGCAGCACCTACAACTACTGCTGCTCCAACAACGGTGCCACCTACAACTACTCCTGCACCTACAACTGCAGGCCCTACTACTGTTGCAACAACAACAGCAGCACCTACAACTACTGCTGCTCCGACAACGGTGCAACCTACAACTACTGCTGCACCTACGACAACATCACCTACTACTGTTGTAACAACCACAGCAGCACCTACAAGTACTGCTTCTCCGACAACAGTGCAACCTACAACTACTGCCGCACCTACAACTGCAGCCCCTACTACTGTTGCAACAACAGCAGCAACTACAACTACTGCTGCTCCAACAACGGTGCCACCTACAACTACTGCTGCACCTACAACAGCAGCAACTACTACTGTTGCAACAACAACAGCAGCACCTACAACTACTGCTGCTCCGACAACGGTGCAACCTACAACTACTGCTGCACCTACAACAACATCACCTTCTACTGTTGCAACAACAACAGCAGCACCTACAAGTACTGCTGCTCCGACAACAGTGCAACCTACAACTACTGCCGCACCTACAACTGCAACCCCTACTACTGTTGCAACAACAACAGCAGCAATTACAACTACTGCTGCTTCGACAATGGTGCAACCTACAACTACTGCTTCACCTACAACTACTGCTGCTCCGACAACAGTGCCACTTACAACTACTGCTACACCTACAACTGCAGCCCCTACTACTGTTGCAACAACAACAATAGCACCTACAACTACTGCTGGTCCGACAACAGTGCCACCTACAACTACTGCTACACCTACAACTGCAGTCCCTACTACTGTTGCAAAAACAAAAGCAGCACCTACAACTGTTGCAACAACAACAGCAGCACCTACAACTACTGCTACTCCAACAACGGTGCCACCTACAACTACTGCTACACCTACGACTGCAGCCCCTACTACTGTTGCAACAACAACAGCAGCACCTACAACTACTGCTGCACCTACGACAGCAGCACCTACTACTGTTGCAACAACAACAGCAGCACCTACAACTACTGCTGCTCCGACAACGCTGCCACCAACAACTACTGCTTCACCTACGACAGCAGCCCCTATTACTGTTGCAACAACAACAGCAGCACCTACAACTACTGCTGCTCCGACAACGGTGCAACCTACAACTACTGCATCACCTACAACTGCAGCCCCTACTATTGTTGCAACGATAACAGCAGCACTTACTATTGTTGCAACAACAACAGCAGTACCTACAACTACTGCTGCTCCAACAACGGTGCCACCTACATCTACTGCTGCTCCGACAACGGTGCAACCTACAACTACTGCTACACCTACAACTGCAGCCTCTACTACTGTTGCAACCACAACAGCAGCACCTATAACTACTGCTGCACCTACGACAACTGCACCTACAACTGCAGCCTCTACTACTGTTGCAACAACAACAGCAGCACCTACAACTACTGCTGCCCAGACAACGGTGCAACCTACAACTACTGCTGCACCTACAACAGCAGCACCTACTACTGAAGCAACAACAACAGCAGCACCTACAACTACTGCTGCTCCGACAACGGTGCAACCTACAACTACAGCTACACCTACAACTGCAGCCCCTACTACTGTTGCAACAACAACAGCAGCACCTACAACTACTGCTGCTCAGACAACGGTGCAACCTACAACTACTGCTGCAACTACAACAGCAGCACCTTCAACTGTTGCAACAACAACAGCAGCACCTACAAATACTGCTGCGCAGACAACGGTGCAACCTACAACTACTGCTACACCTACAACTGCAGCCCCTACTACTGTTGCAACAACAACAGCAGCACCTACAACTACTGCTGCTCAGACAACGGTGCAACCTACAACTACTGCTGCAACTACAACAGCAGCACCTACAACTGTTGTAACAACAACAGCAGCACCTACAAATACTGCTGTGCAGACAACGGTGCAACCTACAACTACAGCTACACCTACAACTGCAGCCCCTACTACTGTTGCAACAACAACAGCAGCACCTACAACTACTGCTGCTCAGACAACGGTGCAACCTACAACTACTGCTGCAACTACAACAGCAGCACCTACAACTGTTGCAACAACAACAGCAGCACCTACAACTACTGCTGCGCAGACAACGGTGCAACCTACAACTACTGCTGCACCTACGACAGCAGCACCTACTACTGTTGCAACAACAACAACTGCACCTACAACTACTGCTTCACCTACAACTGCAGGCCCTACTACTGAAGCAACGATAACAGCTGCACCTACAACTACTGCTGCTCCATCAACGGTGCAACCTACAACTACTGCTTCACCTACAACTGCAGGCCCTACTACTGAAGCAACAACAACAGCAACACCTACAACTACTGCTGCGCCTACAACTGCAGCCCCTACTACTGTTGCAACAACAACAGCAGCACCTACAAGTACTGCTGCTCCGACAACAGTGCAACCAACAATTCCAGCTTCTATACCAGTTGTGGTTGTCGCGGCAACCGTGGAAGAACCATTTGTAGCAGAACTTAGAGACAAAAACAGTGCAGAGTTTAAAGTTCTTGAAAGCAGAATTGTACTAGTGGTTAGTTCTCATTCTTATTGAGTTTGCTGTATTTATTTCATTTGGAAACTATTCTCATTTTAACTGCTTTATTTTGTTGCTTTTGTTCCCACAGTATGATATCATCTACAAGACAAAATATGGATTTCTTTTCATACGCTCGTTTGTCATTTCATTTAGGTAACGTTTCACATTTTGAGAGACCAACTCACCTTATACTTTCTGGGTTTTTATATTCAAACTTTCAAACATAAGAATGACAAAAGCACTCATTACAGATATGTAAAAGTTATCAATGTTGATATAATTTGGTTTAAAATATGTTATTTTTTGATGCAGTCAAGCTGTGGCGAGAACTCGAGCTGATACTGGTACTCAAGTCGAGATGGGGCTTGAGTTCAATCAAACTGCTTCACCTGCAGAAATCCCACAGGATGATGATGTTGCAAAAACCTTAGAAGAGGCTATCTCCAACCCAAACAATACCTTCAACATCTCTGTTGATGTCACCTCCATCCGAGTAATTCGTAAGTAATCAATATCCTTCATTTAGCAAGGACATTTTGTTATCTAAGATTTGTCTAACATTGTCTGTTCAATACTTAGTATCAATATATCTAACTGTAAATAACAATAGCCAAGTTTCCTTTTTGTGCTCCAAATAAGGGGTTTACATTTAGTTTAGTTTAGTTTAGTTTAGTTTTTTTTTTTTTTTTTCGAGCGTGTAAAACCAAAGAAAATACAAATGAAACAAAAGGTGATACAGACATGATACAGTACTATACAAATGAATGCAATAACAAAACGAAACATTTAAATAATAATTGAATAATCTGCAGTATCATTGTCTGATATCAATAAACAATAAACAACAAAGCTTTAGCTAATTACACGTCCGAAAAGGGGTCAGAAGAAGTTTACACTTATTTAATCCGACCCCTTCTCCCTTTTTTATTTTTATTTTTATTTTTATTTTTTTACATCTTAATATATGTTAACATACAATATAAACGTATACTTATAATCTTGAATAATTTATATAATCATTCATATAATATATACAGGCAAGTTAGGACAATGGTCTCTATATATTTATATATATATATATATATATGTACATACACAAATTCATACAAACACAAATTCATAAATAAAATACAAAACAAGAATACAAACAGTTATGGTTTAGCAGTTTCATCCCTGTACCTTGTGAGAATTGTGTCTTTATACCTCTTTTTGAATAGTTTTGTGTTTGGACATCCCTTTAGCTCTTCACTCAAATTGTTCCAGATCTTCACCCCACAAACAGAAACACAAAAACTTCTCTTTGTTGTGCGCACCCTAACATTAGTGAAATTTAGCAAATGTGTACAATACAAAGCCAATATCTTTATTTGTTTTATTTTTAAACCATACAGCATGAACCGAAAACAACACACCACAGCATTAGGCCACGGCAACATGCAATGCCAGTCTCTAGAGGGACCTGGAATTAAACCAGACAACCATGACATGAAAAAAACTGTACAAAACACAATTTAGGTACATTTAAACACAAAACTCAGAGCTCAACAAGAAACAAACAAAGACAAAAGAAAAGAAACAAATACAATAAAACAAAAAGCACTAACTCATGACCAAATCCTCTTAAAAACATTTCTGTTTCAGTTTTATATGAAGCCAGTCAGCATCCAGTTTGACTTCTGTAGATTGAAAATTACGCATGTTGAATCCGAGAACAGAAATTGCTTTGTGTTTGAATAAGAATGTACATAACTTCCATTGAATATTGAAGTAATTATGGAATAATTTCAAAAATTCTTATTTGACAAATGTTTTGGTCGAAATGGAGCATACACAATCATATACCATCGACTGTTACAAACATAAGAAACACAATTTAAAGTTATTTTTCTTTCTTGTCTGAAAATGCAGTTATCACTGTTGGCACTGTCAGCAATGTTTCTGCTGTTAGCACCTATAGTTACTAGCTGCTGGCCCAGCCATCGCAAAAGTGAGAATAGTTTGAAGGCAATCCATCAGTCAGACATAAGCTTTGAATTTTGTGTTGAGAACCTTTACACTGTGGATTGACTTTGTTTAGAAGAAAGCATTTTGAATACCATCTTTTATTTTACCATATTTCTTCACATTGGTCCATATTTGTTTGGACTATAGCCCCGACAGCTATCCCAACTTCTGCAAATAAAGCTACAAGTACTGCAAGTACAAGGGCTGCTACAACTACCAGTGCTGCAACTTCAACTACAAGTACTGCAACTACAAGGGCTGCAACAACAACTACAAGGGCTGCTACAACTACAACTACCACTGCTGCACCTACAACTGCAGCCCCTGCTACTGTTGCAACAACAACAGCAGCACCTAAAACTGCTGAACTGACAACTGTTGCGCCTACAACAGCAGCACCTACAACTGCTGCTGTAACAACTGCTTCACCTACGACTGCTGCCCCAACCACTGCTGCTGCTACAACTGCTGCACTGACAACTGCAACAACAGCATCAACTGCAACAACAGCAACAACAGCATCACCAACAATTCCAGCTTCTAAACCAGTTGTGGTTGTCGTGGCAACCGTGAAAGAACCATTTGTACCAGAACTTAGAGACAAAAACAGTGCAGAGTTTAAAGTTCTTGAAAGCAGAGTTGTAATAGTGGTTAGTTCTCATTCTTATTATTTTTCTGAGTATTGAGTTTGCTGTTTTTATTTCATTTGGAAACTATTCTTATTTTAACTGCTTTATTTTGTTGCTTTTGTTCCCACAGTATGATTTAATCTACAAGACAAAATATGGATTTCTTTTCATACGCTCGTTTGTCATTTCATTTAGGTAACGTTTCACATTTTGAGAGACCAACTCACCTTATACTTTCTGGGTTTTTATATTCAAACTTTCAAACATAAGAATGACAAAAGCACTCATCAGAGATATGTAAAAGTTATCAATGTTGATATAATTTGGTTTAAAATATGTTATTTTTTGATGCAGTCAAGCTGTGGCGAAAACTCGAGCTGATACTGATACTCAAGTGGAGGTGGGGCTTGAGTTCAATCAAACTGCTTCACCTGCAGAAATCCCACAGGATGATGATGTTGCAAAAACCTTAGAAGAGGCTTTCTCCAACCCAAACATTTCCTTCAACATCTCTGTTGATGTCACCTCCATCCGAGTAATTCGTAAGTAATCAATATCCTTCATTTAGCAAGGACATTTTGTTATCTAAGATTTGTCTAACATTGTCTGTTCAATACTTAGTATCAATATATCTAACTGCAAATAACAATAGCCAAGTTTCATTTTTGTGCTCCAAATAAGGGGTTTAAATTTAGCAAATGTGTACAATACAAAGCCAATATCTTTATTTGTTTTATTTGTAAACCATACAGCATGAACCGAAACAACACACCACAGCATTAGGCCACGGCAACATGCAATGCCAGTCTCTAGAGGGACCTGGAATTAAACCAGACAACCATGACATGAACAAAACTGTACAAAACACAATTTAGGTACATTTAAACACAAAACTCAGAGCTCAACAAGAAACAAACAAAGACAAAACAAACGAAACAAATACAATAAAACAAAAAGCACTAACTCATGACCAAATCCTCTTAAAAACATTTCTGTTTCAGTTTTATATGAAGCCAGTCAGCATCCAGTTTGACTTCTGTAGATTGAAAATTACGCATGTTGAATCCGAGAACAGAAATTGCTTTGTGTTTGAATAAGAATGTACATAACTTCCATTGAATATTGAAGTAATTATGGAATAATTTCAAAAATTCTTATTTGATAAATGTTTTGGTCGAAATGGAGCATACACAATCATATACCATCGACTGTTACAAACATAAGAAACACAATTTGAAGTTATTTTTCTTTCTTGTCTGAAAATGCAGTTATCACTGTTGGCACTGTCAGCAATGTTTCTGCTGTTAGCACCTATAGTTACTAGATGCTGGCCCAGCCATCGCAAAAGTGAGAATAGTTTGAAGGCAATCCATCAGTCAGACATAAGCTTTGAATTTTGTGTTGAGAACCTTTACACTGTGGATTGACTTTGTTTAGAAGAAAGCATTTTGAATACCATCTTTTATTTTACCATATTTCTTCACATTGGTCCATATTTGTTTGGACTATAGGCCCGACAGCTATCCCAACTTCTGCAAATATAGCTACAAATGCTGCAAGTACAAGGGCTGCTACAACTACCAGTGCTGCAACTACAACTACAAGTACTGCAACTACAAGGGCTGCTACAACTACAACTACAACTTCCAGTGCTGCAACTACAACTACAAGTACTGCAACTACAAGGGCTGCTACAACTACAACTACAACTACCAGTGCTGCAACCACAACTACAAGGGCTGCTACAACTAAAACCACAACCACGACGACTCCTATAACTACGACAGCTACTACAATTGCTGAAGCAGTCATAATAAGGCAGTTGACTTTCCGATCTGCTGGAGAAACATTCACAACCGATTTGCAGAATAGATTATCTGCAGCGTTTAAAGCACGAGCCTCACTAATAGAGACAACAGTAAGTCCATAGGGTGAAGCCGAGCGAAATCTAAGCATCCTAATTAACTGGAAATGTTTTACTAAATGTATTAGTATTTCCTGCAATAAGCCATCTTAATTTGTAGATTAAATCTCCTTAAACAAACACATTTGGTGACATAGTCAAATTACTATATCCTGTGTTATGAGATAAAATGTATCTTAAAACTTAAATAAAATGATAAGTTTCAGATATATTTAACATTGAAGTGTTGGTGCTTCTTATACTGGATAGAAGATGCTGGATTGTTCATTGTTTTATGATTGGATGGTGTTTGTTGGTGCAAATTAAAAACCACAATTACAAAAGTCAATGGCAAATAAAATAAATGTACATAATTTATTTGCTTGTTTTTTGCAGCTTAACCCTATTTACCAACGACAATTTTCTTCGTTCCGCTCCTTGACGGTGATTTTGTTCAGGTAATTTATTAATGTTATTAAAATGTACTGCAATCTAAATATATTGTACTGTGAATTCATGAAAATAATATTTTTAACATAATTGTAATAATTATAATTTATTTATAATGATTAAGAATATACATTTCTCTTCAATTCTATCTGCAGTAATGGATCAATCTTCAACACCATGAATCTTAAATTTGCATCCACATCAGTTCCTAGTGGCACTCAGATTGGAAACATTTTGGCTGATGCAGCTTCAAGCATCACAGCCTTCAACATTGAACCTGCCTCCATTTTTTTGGATGGCGCACGTAAGTTATTTGAAATACTACCTTACCAAAAAAACACAACCTAAAAGAGATACTTCAAGTAATATATTTTGTTTTTCTTTTGTCATCATTTACAGAAGTTTCAAATGGAGTAAGCCACAAGATGAGTCTCATCACTGCATCCTTCCTTGTGCTGCTGTCATGGCTACTGTCAAGCTTTCAATAGTGCAGGGCTCATGTCTGTTAAGTGAAATACAATTACAGAAAGCCTTACATAACTGTATTGTATATCAGACGCATCACATATAACAACATTTTAACTTATTGTGCAGATATAATTTACAGATATAACATTAAAATTGAACACAGTGCCTTGTATTATTATCCAGTAACTTTTCTTATTTCTATCTTTTTATATTATCATACATAACTTATGTGTATTCTGTGAGCTTACCTGTATTTTTGTAAAAAACAAGGTCTTCTTGATGATCGGAACACAAAAGATATGTTATGTTTTTAGCATCCGAAGATAAAAACAAGGTGTATCTCAATAAGTTGAAAATGCTTCCATTAAAGGCACTGAAGATAAGTACAAACAATCAAACACTGTCTTATTGTTTCTAAAAACCTTTTCTTCCAATCTGTTATTCTCAATATGGTTATATATAAGTTATTCAGGATTTTCCAGAAATAAAATGGCTGCATGTCGATTCACAATGGCCCTGGTTTAAATGAATAAAGAAATAGTCTCAGCTGTCAGCTTGTTGTGTGCATTAACTAAAGTGACAATCATTTTGGAAAGACAAGTTGTTTATGTGCAGGCAGAAATGTCAAATGAATCGATAAACTAACTGACAGGGAATGGATCATTGCTTTAATGTATTATTATTATTAACCATATTTTTTTATATATATAAATATCCATATTTATTTTGGATATAATATTTTTATAATCTAAAATGGTGGGCCTCAGTCATTTTACCAAACTTCTCTGTGATGTCAATAAAGTATTTTTATTTATGATAATGGATTATATTTGTTAAAGGAAACACTTCATCATAATCACTAGCTTACAATATAAATCACTTATCTATTTATTTTCTTAGGGATAATCAGATGATGACTTTGTTGGATAATTTTTTAGGTGTCATTGAAGCTACAGATACACAACAGGTGTAAGTATTCAGACAAGTCTTAGATACCACTGCCAAACAGGTTGGCTAAAATTGGATTAAATGCTCACAATGCTTCTTTCTATGTTGCTGATTGAAAAGGACAACACATAGTCTAATTGCCTTTGTATTCTAGTACTCAAGAGGACAGCAAAAGAATCACAGGAGGATTGTGACCAAACACACTCAAATTCAATCATTGCTGGTTTTGTTCTTTTGGACTGTAAAGTATTTTCCAAATATAAGACTATATCCAACTAGTCCTTTGTCAAATTACATTTATTGGGCTACATTTACATTTATTTTGATATGATTTATTAATTTGACTTAACCAACTGGCACACTTAAACTAACTATAATCTGCAGTAGTGGATTGTGAAAGTGTCATGCAGCAGCAGACCAAAAAAGGGAGTATACAATGACAGTGTTAAGAGATGATTAATAGATGTCTTTCTGACTTCACATTGTTGTTGGGCCATATAGATGCAGAAATATCTCAATAAGGTGTCATATTGTAATTTATTGTCTTTTATTGTGATTGTAGTAATGTGTTTTTATTACATGTACAGCACTTTGGCTCGACCAAAAATCGCTTTTAAATGTGCTTTATAAATAAAACTTGATTTGATTTGATATCTGATTCATGTCATTACTCAAAAAGCCCTCCATTAAGGTGATAATAGACAAGGAGTGCCACATTAAGTTAAGTGTAAATACTTATCTTAATTAAGTAAATACTAAATACTCCTCTGTGCAAAATGCCTGCAAATCCACAATAAAGTTATTGGGAACTGTAGTTCAGTAACATTGTCTAACTTAAAAGACTCTTATGCTACAGTAAGAGTCAGAGGATCATCAGCATGTCAGCAGGCTTCCAAATTTGATTGTTACCAAAATAGTTGTTCAGTTATTTCAGTTTGGATCAAAAGGATTGGACCGACTGACAGTACAATATTGACATCCTTATAAGATTGTGACTTCTTGAAACAATACTTATATTCCTTTATTAATTTACTGTAACTTTTTTCTCATATATGATATTGGTATGCTAAAAGCTTACCTCAGTATTTTAATACATTCAAGCTTTTAGAAGGGAAGCATATACAGGTATTTGTTTAACCAGGGTAGACTTTATCCTGTATAGCTCCAAGTGGTCTGGTGTAAACTGATGATGCTGTAATCATCCTAATAATTCCCATGGTGCATTTAAGCTCTATTTTACATGAACCGTACCTTTTTTCTTGATGTATGTACTTAGCATATTGTAATGTTTGTATGCCTTTACAAATGGAAGCAGAAGTCATGTTAATACATTGAGACACAAGTGACATTTTTGTATCTTAAAACTTGATGTAGATATAACCTGTGACATAATGTCAAACAGACTTGATAGCCATATTATTAAGGGGGGCTTTAGAGTGTGTACACGTGAGCATAAATCCTGATTCAGTCCAAGTTATATGTAAGTATACACAACACAATCTTTCTCTCCAATACGTTTCCAAACCATTTTGAATAACATTTGCTGCGCATGCTTGGTTTTTCAATAATTTACTAACAAAAGTATGTAGCTACGGAAAAAATGTAGATAAAGACAAAATTAATGAGCACTACTTAAATGATTTTCAGTGTAATTTATGTAAATAAATTGTTATTCAATGTAAGAATACTTTTTCCCAAGAAACTTCAGAAGAAATATATTTTTGTAAGCCCTTCATCATTGATCTTATTGTAAAACTGGCACCAGGGTTTTTCATCAAAAAAGGAAACGTTTTACTTTTAGTTTCGGCACTGATACATATTAACATAATATTTATATATCTATTTTTACAGCAAGTCCAGTCCCAGCTACAACTCCCACACCTACAACTGCTAAACCTAAAACTCCCACACCTACAACTGCTAAACCTAAAACGGCAGCACCTACTACTGCTAAACCTAAATCGGCAGCACCTACAACTGCTAAACCTAAAACAGCAGAACCTACAACTGCTAAACCTAAAACGGCAGCACCTACTACTATAGCCCTTATAACAAAAAGGGTGACTTTCAGATCTGTCCTAGACACATTTACCAATGACTTGATGAATCCATCTTCTGCTGCTTATAAAGCTCGGGCTAAAATGATAAAGGATCAGGTACGTTTTTTTAGTCCACCCACTCAAAACATGTGAATTCTACTCCACAGTTACCACACTATGATTAGGAATTATTAATTGATGAAAGACCAACAAAGATCAAGTCAAATAAATAAGTAAAGCTCTAAATCCAATGCAAAGGTTTATGTGAAAAAAATTATATTTTAGTTTTGTGTTTCTACAGCTTACACCTGTTTTCAAAAGGGTATTCCCTTCGTCCTTCAAATCACAGATGTTGTTTCATTCAGGTAATTTTTTAAGACTATTAAAGTGTTATAATAAAGAGTAGGATCCTAAATCTGATATTTCAAACAATATTTGTTTTCTCTTTCTGCAGTAACGGATCAATCATCAACGTCATTGATGTTTTGTTGGTAAGCACATCTGCTCCTAATAGCACTCAGATTGCGAACGCTTGATCAACGCAGCTTCAACAGTCGTTGGATTCGACATTGAAGGCAGCTCCATTGGCGTAAATGGCATATGTAAGTAAATATATAAATGTTGATTTAATGTTTTGTTTATTTTTTTTCTCATTTACAGCTTCCAGTGGAGTAAGACACAAGATCAGTCTTGTCACCCCATCCTGCCTCTGTCTGTTGTCATGGATACTATCAAACCAGCAATAGCATTAGGGCTGTTTTTACAATTTTAATTTTAATCACAACATGACTTCCATCACTGGAATGATTTTTTTTTAAATTTATGGTGAAATACTCTGTTGGTTCAAAAGGATTCATGATGTCTTCAGTCTTGTTCAGCTTCAGATGAACTTGATATAAAATGTAACTTTGAGTAACGCGTCCATTCAATCATCATTAGACCAATAGGCCAGACATGTAACATTACCCCAGGAATGTAAAAATAATTGCACTAATAATGTACAAATGAATCTTGCTTCACTGATCAATTTGCTATAAGAATATATTTTTTTTTTACAGTAACTAATGCTGTCTTGTTTAAGTTTAGAAAACATTTCATAAATTAAAATGAAGAAACACATCACTCAATTGTCTAATCCATTTAAATGTATAAATGATGTATAATAATATATAAATACAGCCTAATATCACAAATCAGCTTCAGGGGGCTTTACAATCTGTCCAGCCTATATGAAACCCTCTGTTCGTAGAACCCTACAGAAAATAACTAACCCAAACTCAACAAATAAACGAAGGACAAATAGAAGAAACCTCAGGAAAAGGCTATGGAGGGATCCCTCTCCAAGAACAGAAAAAAACAACCCTAAACCAATGCAGAGCTTTATAATCATTGTACACAAATACATGTCTAAACAATTCAATGTCAATCTTTTTATTTATGAAATGTATTTTTGTAAAATGTCTTGTTTGTATATATTCTGTCCGAAGATTTATAGAATACAAAATCTCTAAAAGAAGTGTATTTGTCTTTTGTGTGTTATTTATCCATTTTCATAGGTAGTGTATAAGTGTATGTTATCAGGTTTAATGTCAGGACCCTACATAAAGCCCCAGTGATGTTTAGGAACAATCAATGTGATTTTCTATGATTACATTTCACAAAAGCACCTTACAATATGCCTTCTCAGCCTTTGTAGTGCCAGTGAATCAGAACCTGTTAAGCCCGGTGCCCCCGCCGGCAGGCAACATCTTGCAAGAAACAGTGTCTGAGGGCTTCTTAACATTTAACAAACTATGAATGTGTCATACACACTTAACGGGAAGAAACTCAAGAGAGTACTAGTAGTGCATAGTTCATTTTGAATATTAAATTAGTATTTATTAAAACACTTTCCAGACAGACATTTTTTGAAATACATCATTCCTTGAGTAACTTATTATAGCCCATAGTCAGAGTAACCACCAGCATCAACCATTGTCAGAGTGCATTTTCGGTAATGCCTTTGTTTAAAAAAATATATCATTTTATTGGCAGTTATCTTGCCAAAGATTTAAAGCATTTACCCAATTTTTGCAAAGCTCTCCACCTAAAATCATCTCAGAGGCTTGAACAGACTTTATGGGAGCAAAGAACAACTCTAATAAAACCACAACTTCAGACTGACTAGCACATGAAGCTGAATCCAGGCCAGCAGCACACAGTAAGCAACAGCACCACATCAGAAACTACAAACATGGCTAACAGGCAGTAAAGTAAACAGTAGCGTCACACAGAGAGAAGGGGGTGTGCATTTCATACTCACCCTGTCTGTTGAGTGTCACATATGCATGCAATGCATACAGAGTTAAGGCTGTTACGACAGTGTCGCGACATGCTTTACGGCATGGGAAGGACTGCTTTACTACAGAGTAAGCCCGCCAGTTGTTATGTTTCTGCCTACTGTAATGTCTTGACTTACTGCTGAATAAACCTGAGTCATAAAAGATACTCGACCCTCGAACAGTCAGAGGAGGTCGCAGCACAAGTGAGTCTGCAGGAAGACACAGTGGGATCAGTTCCGGTTTCGCTATGAGTGGTCGCATTTTCGAGAGCTCCCGCTTTGGAAGTCATTCCTCACGATTTTTTACATATTTCATCCTCCTGACAATATGGATTATGGACTCCTACCTCAACTCATCAATGAGGCAACATCACTTAGAGAAGGAGAGTAGTGAAAGCAGGGATAAAATGAACCACAATGACTTTTACCTTCTCAACGGCTGGGAAAGGAAACACCTCGCTTTTGGAAGTGCAAGCATTCATGCATTATTAACTGCAAACCCGACGCGAAAGTACTTACCCCCGTCAGGCAAACTAGACCGAAGAAGTATGATCGTCTTGGTCTTATTGTTAGCGGGAGACATCCATCTGAATCCGGGCCCGGTGCAGACAAGAAGCCATTCCTGCAGGCTCGAGGAGCTAGCATCACAACTAGCATCACAACTAGCATCTCTTCCGCTACAGCAACAACTACGCGACGACAACAGAGACCATGGAGACAGCGGAGACCGAGGAATCAACGGAGACTTCGACATTCCCCCGGGGACGCCTCGGCAGACAGACACGCATGAGGCAGTGACGAGAGGAAGAGAACCGAGATCCGAGGGAACAAATATCCACCATGTTGTTAGCCACCCTGCTAGCATATCGACGGCTAAAGCTACAACGGAGCCTCCCTCCCCCCACCACCCCACCGCTCCAAGCACCACGGCAGGCCGCAAGCCGTTTGCTGTAACGGACAAAGACAAATATCTTCAAGCTGACGACATTATGCATTTAAACAACAAAAATGGACTACATATTTTTCATCTGAACACTAACAGCCTGAGACACAAACTGGCTGAACTCAGGCAACTGTTCATGAACGGTAAGGCAAGCATATTATGCTTTTCTGAGACCAAATTGGACAATTCCATTACAGATTCAGAGATTGAAATTGAAGATTATCTTGTAGTGAGAAGGGACAGGAACGTGAATGGAGGTGGTGTCTGCATGTACATACATAAAGACACCAATTTCAAAAACCGTACTGACCTGCATCATGAAAATATTGAATCTGTGTGGGTTGAAATTCTTTTTGACAATGCTAAATCTGTAATAGTCGGGACAATCTATAGACCACCGGAACAGAGTGACTTTTATGATACATTAGATGGGTGTTTGGCTGATGTGGGGGATGTAGAGACAATTATTATTGGAGACTGGAACACGGATATGCAACGTAAAGACACGTCCGTCTTCAAGTCCTTCAGTAGGATTTGTGATCTGCACGGCTTCAGCCAGCTAATCACCCAACCCACCCGGGTATGTGAAACAACACAAACTACCATTGATCTCATTCTGACCTCTGACAGGTCCAGGATCTCCAGTAAAGGGGTTATAGCATGCGGTTTAAGTGATCATTATATGATATTCTGTACCCGCAAAAAGCTAAAACAAAAGGCCGGCTGTCACAAAACAGTCATATCTAGAGACCTCAAAAACTACTCTAGCGAGGCCTTTAACCTAGAACTGGAGAGCCTGGACTGGTCAGATGAGCTCAGTGGTACACAAGTTGAAGAAACATGGCTTGGTTTCAAAAACAAATTCTCTGCAATACTCAATGATTTGGCCCCCCTAAGAACAACCAGGGTAAAAAATCGCGCTGAGCCGTGGATGCACTCCGGCATACTGACCGCCATGAAAACCAGAGACAAAAAATGCTCTGAGTTTCATAAAAGTCAGTCAATGCTTTCCAAAAGCACGAACAGTGAACTCCAGGCCCACGTGACTGAACTAAAAATTGAAAGAAACAGACTAAGAAATGACGTAAGCTCCATGATCAAAACTGCCAAAAAGAATTTCATCAATGACAAAACTGAGGAAAACAAAAATAAACCACGTGAACTTTGGAAATTACTCAATAACCAGCTTGGCTGCAGTAAAAAACTCAAAACGAGATTTTCAAACGTAAACATAAAGACAGATAACAGGCTCATCACAGACAAACTGGATGTGGCCAAGTACTTGAACATTTTTTTCACAAACATAGCCACAACTCTTGTAAATAAATTACCCTCCCACTCAGGGCTTTTTGGAGTAGATCACATCATGACCTACTACAAAAACCTAGGGGTACGCAAAGATGATTTCAGTCTAGCAAGGGTAACAACAGCAGAGGTACTCATTAAACTGAGCGCCCTCAAACCTAACAAGGCCACTGGCCACGACAATATCCCCTCCAAATTCCTCAGAGACACAGCAACCGCCATCTCACCAGTCATAGCTCACATAATTAACCTCTCCATAAAACAGGGAAAAGTACCCAAAGACTTCAAAATTGCAAGAGTAACCCCCCTGCACAAAAAGGGCAGCAAATTGGACCCAGGCAACTACCCGCCCTGTTTCTATACTTACCTCCATCTCGAAAGTCATGGAAAAAATAGTATATGAACAGGTCGAAAAGTACCTCGCGGAAAAGAAACTAATCTATGAATTTCAATCTGGCTTTAGAACATCCCACTCCACTGACACATGCCTTCTTTATTTGAACGACCACATCAAACAAGAGGTGGACGAGGGTAAATACTGCGGCATGGTGATGCTGGACCTACAAAAGGCTTTCGACACTGTCAATCACCCCATTCTGATTGACAAGCTAAAAGCAATTGGTTTTGATAAACTATCGGTGAGCTGGATGCAATCCTACCTGGAGGGGAGAGAACAGATGGTGGAGGTAAACGGTACTCTGTCCCCCCCCCTCCCAGTGAGCTGTGGTGTTCCACAAGGAAGCATATTAGGTCCGTTACTGTTCCTAATTTATGCAAATGACATGTCATCAGCATGTGACTGCAACTTGTTCCTGTTCGCGGACGACTCAGCCCTGCTGGTCTCTGACAGGAGCAGATTGCAGGTTGAAAAAACCCTCAGCTCCGAGCTCGGCAGAATCTGCACCTGGCTCGCCGATAATAAATTATCATTACACCTGGGTAAAACAGAGTCCATTCTCTTCGGTTCGAAACATAATCTCAGCAAATCCGACGACTTCTCAGTTGCAGTGGGTGACATTATTGTCACAAGTAAGAAGGAAATTACATACCTAGGATCTATTCTTGAGGCAAACCTCTCCTGTGACAAAATGGCATCCAATGTAATAAAAAAAGTCAATCAAAGAACTAGATTCCTATACCGGATCTCCTCTCTGGTAAACAAAAACACCCTGAAAACTCTGGCAGGAGCACTCATTCAAGGGTACTATGACTATGCTTGCACGTCATGGTACCATAGCACCTCCAAGGCGCTAAAAATAAAACTTCAAACATCGCAAAATAAACTGGTCAGACTACTGCTTGACCTTTCATCTAGAACCCACCTCACCTCTGCCCACTTTGACAACCTAGGATGGCTTAGAGTAGACGACAGAGTACAGCTACTTGCAATGGGCCTGGTCTACAAGATCCACTACACCTCTATGGTACCCATGTACATGTCAAAATTCTTCCCAAAGGTCAAGGAATACCATGATCATAACACCAGAGGGAGCTCCACAAATCATGTAAAACCCAGATTTGGCACAAAAAAAGGGGAATACACGTTTCGCAATTATGCCACATCAAGGTGGAACGCTCTTCCCACAACTGTAAAGGAAAGTAAAACTATACTTACCTTCAAAACCTCTCTTAAAGAGCACCTTCGGGGGAAAGCATTGCAAAACTGGCCCCGGTAATGGTACAAATCTCAACCTGTCGTACAATGGACAGCTTCCCCCCCCCATCTATGTATATACTCGCATTTTAGACTCTGTTACTAACTGTATATCTGTAGACTTGGTATGTCTTAAATGTCCGGTTAGGATGTATTAGAACGAAATCTAAAATGAAAATTGTAAATAAGCCATCTGTATGTAAAAAACCACCTGTATGTAAATTGTAAATAAGCCATCTGTATGTCAAATATGTCTTATATGTCTTAAATGATATGATGAATTGGAAATGGGGGACCCTGATGTAAACAAGACGAAAGTCTTTCTCTGGTCTGCATCCCCTTAACAATTGTATGTTTTGAGCTGTACTGTACTGTACCCAATATACAAGCTGTTAATAAACTTTTCAATCAATCAATCAATCAATCAATCAATCAATTCAATCAATCAATCAATCAGGAGATGAGAGGTGTGAGAGGAACAAATAACAAATGGAAACCTCAACAACATCAAGGCAAGTCAAAAGACAGAAAATGGGGGGGAGGTGAAAGGAAATGTGGTAAATGTGGGAAATCACAGCATTGCAAGGAAGAAGGGTGTCCTGCAGGCAGCTAAAGCTACATGCCACAAGTGCAATAAAATAGGACATTGGGCCAGAGTGTGCCGAAACAGCAATAGATCAGTGAATGAGGTCACAGGGACTGTACAGGCTGAGCAGACCCCTTATTTCTTAGGCTCAGTGTGCAGTGCAGAGGAAAAAGAGCAATGGACAGTACAGCTCCAGGTGGATTCTACTCCAATGGAATTTAAAATTGACACAGGAGCTGATGTCAGCGTCTTATGTGAGGATGCATTTCACACACTCACTCCACCAAAAACACTGAAACCAGCTGACATCCCATTAGACAGCCAGGAGGTGAACTGTTGTGTCTGGGACGCTTTAATGCTACGGTCAGTTACAAGGGAAAGAACTACCTATTTGAAGCATATGTAGTCCGTGGCCAGAGTGTCAATAACCTACTCAGCCGGGATCTGTTAGTGGAGATGAATCTGGTAAGGTGTGTTGATGAAGTGAAATTCACTACCAGTGAACACCTTCAAGCCAACCCTGTCTCCTAGAAATTACGTTCCCACAAAACTAAACTGCATTCTCAAATACGTTTCGCAAGAAACGTATTTCCTTCCACGTTACGTTTGTTATGAACATATCTTAAATACGTTTATTTTCTACATATCTTCTAGAAACCTATGTTCTCCAACATGACGTTTGTTATGAACGTATCTCAAATACGTTTGCTTTCTACCTATATTTGCCATTTCTTTTCTAGCTTATAATAATGATAATAGTAATTTATTAATATCATTTTAGAGCAAACTTATTTTCGCGCTGGCTGGCAGCTCACTGTTGAGTTTACCAAATCCGTTATTATGCTGGTTAATGGTTAATAATCACAATATTGTTTGTAGTCGTTTCATACAGCATTCTCAATTACGTTTAACAAGAAACGTCTTTTGTCCCACGTTACGTTTGTTCTGAACATATCTTAAATACGTTTGCTTTCTACCTATCTTTGACATTTCTTTTCTAGCTTATAATAATGATAATAGTAATTTATTAATATCATTTTAGAGCACACATTTGAAATCGACGATCGGGCTTGATATCCTATGGTTAAATTAAAATCAGTAGGCGAGGCTGTAATTTCGCCAGCTGGAGGCAGAGTTTTAACATCCCAAAAAGCTGCTGTGTCGTTTATTGCACCTCAAACACCTCAAACTTCCTCTAAGGACAGCAGAAGAGCTCTGTGGCTTCAGGCTTGATCGCCGTTCAAATGACAGCGTTGGTTTCCCCAAAAGTGGGTGGGGCTGTAAAGTGACGTAGATTTTACTCTCATCTATTATTCAAAACCATTCTATTTATTCTAACGTAAATTACATGCCAGTGTTTTATCTTTTTATTAAGCGATTTGTTTCTGTTGTTTAACTCATAGATATATATAAACATATGTTTTTATATATATCTATGGTTTAACTGGGAATGTTTTCACATTGAACCGGAAGTACGTCACTTCACTTTGTCTTCTTCGTCCCTTTTATGTTCCAGACAATGCATGGCTCAGCGTAACAGACTGAACAGCGACCCCAGGTGTGTCTACATTGGAATTACATCTTCATTACTGAAGGAAAAATACTTTACCTTGTGTTTGTTAACTGGGTTTTTAATGCAGTTGGCTTTTCTTAATGGTTACAATATTGCTATGAGTTACAGTATATCTGAAGCAAATTATGTTTCTGAAGATGTGTAGTCAATTCCACCCTTCAATGTAGCATAAATGTGAACTCTCATTACAGGAACAATACCGGAAACAGACGTAGGAAAGATCCTCAGCTCGCTGATTGGATGTTTTAGCCGCAATGCACGTTGGGATATGGTGTTTATGCGATGTGAAATCCGAAAACATTAAAAAAAATAATAATAATACTTTATTCCGAGTGTTCTTGCTTTTCTCTTTGAAAGTCATCACATAACGGCATTGTAATACACGGTTCGGCTGCATTAAATATGACATATCTGCCGTAGTTCTGTATTTATAGAGCCCTGATGAGAAGACTTCTGGACAAACAGGAAGAACTGCCGCCGAAACTGAATACGTGACGTGGATCATAAATACATCAACAATTAAACAACATCTTACATTTCTTTTCACAAAATACGTCTCCTTGCAGTATCAATACTAATTCGGCTGACTTTTATATTTGATCCAATTGGTAGATAGGTTATATTTACACCATAACGGTGGACAGCTGATAGAAAAGGACTTGTAGTTTTTAAAGATATTACTGATTTTCGGCAGAAACAATTGGAAATTGCTGTAGAAAAACAATTCTGGAGACTTTGTTTTGGAAAATTTTGCATAACGCACAACTGCTGCTTTTGTTCGCGTTCTTTTAATAATAAACCCGAAATTATTTTGGAGTTCGATGGCATTTTTGAGACTTTCACTCTGTGACATAACCCTGTATTCGGATGCGAATGTTGCCAAACACATATTATTAAAAACCGCGTCATTTGGCCGATTTTTGACGAAACCGGTCATCCACATGTTGTCTGTGGTTAGACTATTTGAATCTGCCATCTGTTTTAACACACTTAATGGCCTACTTATTTTAATTGTATTTTTCCCTGTTGGCACAAATTGGACCAAGCGAGAGCATGTCTTCAGGGACATGTGTGTCAATCTGTAGACTGCCTCTTGGGCACACACATCTCGGTTGTGTAAATACACACTCCCTAACTTTTTAAATGCATCCTTGGCATCTAGATTGCCCTGCTGTGATGCTTCTTTATGTGCATTACCCAATAATAATCCCATTTCCTTTTCTGCCTTGGAGATGTAGGAAATTATATAGACAACACATGCATAGGCATTGACCACATACTGAATGTCCATATTGGCATTCCAGCATTTTAACAGTAGTTTGTTGTATTGATTAATCCAGACTTCGCCAATTTGTCTTTTCAATACAACGTGTGTCTTTCTACCAACCAATTTGTAAGCAGCCTCGAAGATCGCTTGATTAATCCCCAGACTTTCAAATAATTGTTCCAGGCTTTCAAATATTACTTTTTCGTCTGAAAGAGCCTTTTTGACGGAGTTCAGAATTTTAACTGCAAACTCCTTCTTCTCCTTTTTTTCGGCCAAAGACTCTAATTTTACACACTCGCATGGTGTCAAGTTACAGCTACATTCTGCTAAGCATTGATCTTCACTGCTGCGACATATAAATGTACTAGCAGTAGCTGGCCGGGGGAAATTAAATCGACAAACAGTGTTATTTTTCTTACACGTTTTAGAATGTCTTTTGGAATGCTGTTGCACAGATGTCACAATGTCCTTTAACGGCTCATCTTGTGATGGTAATTCACATGTCAGATATGTGTCGATGAATTGAATCACCTCTTCATCTGTATTCTTATCAATTTTGGGTGCATTCTCAATCCAAAACAAGCAATGCACATGAGGTGAGCCACGCTGCTGAAATTCCACGCGATAGAAATAATCTACAATCTTGCCAATTGGGTGTGAAGGGGACATAAGTACTTCTTTCAAAAAACAATTCCATCTATAGTCAAACATCCTGGCCGCTGTCACAGGATTACGACGCAAGAGTTCACATCTGTCTGCCCAATCTAAATCTTCAGCGGTCTGTGTTCTACCTTCCTGTTTTAAAATAGCGTCGAGTAAATTTGCCCACCTAAGATCAGCCGAAGAGAATGAACAAAACCAGGTAGGCACACCAAGTTGACGCACACAAGCGAGGAGGTCACTCTGTGCGCGCTGCCAAAATGCTGGAGTACCTCTAATAGGTGAGAGAAAACGAAAGCCATCATCAAATTTCAACAGTTTTCTTATGGTTTCCTGATTCAACAAATTATCTTCTATCGGTTTGGATGGAAAGCCTGCTTTGCCTTTTCGCAATGCAATAGACACACTGGACAATACCTGTTGCACCTCAGACAAATACTGAGCATAAAAAATGTATTCTATATTTTGTGCAAACCTAACATCAGCATTTAAAACACGCATATTCAAATAGCGTGCTAATGTTATCTTGCGGGGCCTCGAATCACGGTAGGTGTTAATGCCCAGTGGGAACAATACAGGAAAGCATTTTGCTTCGTTGGAAATGTCTGCTAACAGCCTCACAGGACTATTACCCTCTGCTGGAGCGACATTTAATGTACTATCAAAATATTGATCCAACACTTCCTGTCCAATATCAACAGGCATCAGACATGTGTCCTGAAACATGCAATGCTGTTGCCTGTCGTGTAAAAGCTCATCATCAGCATTAGCATCAGACGTTTCATTAGTTGGCAAATCCATCAAGGTCGGATTGTCTACAAAGTCATCATCCCGTTCCCTCCAAAACTCATTAAGCAGAGCGTCATCAAGTTCCTCAAACTCGGGAACCCTTACAGGAATGAATGAACTTTCTTTTGCAGGACTATTGCCTTCTGCTGGGGCCATGTTCAGTTCTCTATCTGAAAACTGATCTGCAATTTCCAGATCAGTATCCACAGCCATCAAATCCATGTCCTGAAACAAACATGGCTGTTCCTCAGCAGCCTCTGATGATGTTTCCTTGGTGTGGGTTTGTTCATTCTCTTCCTCCTCCCTACAAAACTCGTTATACCAACTTTTATTAAATTCAATATCCCTATAGTGCTTATTGTTTCTTTTTAAATATTGTAATGCCCGCATTATGTGCATTGGGTCTGCAAATTGAAATTTATAATGACCTTTGTAGGTCGATCTACGCTTTAACTTTATTCGCAAGATGGAACCTTCCATCCTTGAGCGGGGGAGCAAATTTGTAGTTTGGACTATATTGGCTGGAACACACGTCACCGGTCCGTGAACTCCATTTTGCCCACCTTTGGGCAATGCCACCATCTTCATAAATGGTATATTTTTGGCAATTAAATGCTGCTCTATGCTGTTCAAACAAGCCAATTCTGGGGGAATGGGGTCTCCTGCCAAATTATTGAGAACACATTCAGGTGGCATCACACCTCTCTTAAGTTTCTTATCACAGTTGCTGCAGATCCAAGACTGCCCTCTCCCAATATCAATCCAAACACAGGGTACTTCACAGTCATCAGTACATGTGTGTAAATATGTGTCTCTGATGCATTTATTAGCTAATTCTTGATTCTTATATTTGTCTTTTTTACAGTGCAAGGCATGCGATTCAAATAACAACCTCTCGCAGCAGCTACAAACAAAAACGGGTCCATTCTTAACTTTGGCCAAAAACTGCTGCATCACAATATCAAATACCTGTCTATTTTTTAGCATTTGTTGCCTCTTCAATTTGTTGCTAGCTGTTACTCGCTTCTTATAATCTGGATTACCATGATACCTTTTTGAAGTCATGGATTTTACTTTCTTTCTATGCAATTTATTTTGCCTATATTTACGTTTGTTAAATGCTATAACTTTCTCTCTATGTAAAACTTTTAGTCTATAGTTCTGTTTGCTTAATGCTTGAACCCTTTCTCTATGCAGATCATCGTCATGATATTTTTTTACACTATATTTTTTTACTTTCTCCTTGTGCAATGGATTAAATATATATATACTTTTACTCAAATCCTTCCTCATCTGATTTTGCAATGGGTCTTCATGGTATCTAACCTGATCTTTTTCAATTGCTCTGAGTTTGTAATCATCATCCTCGAAATACCTTTTTCTAAGACCGACTCTTACTATCTCTTGATAATCTGCATCACTATACTTTTTCATGGACGCATCCCTAATCGTTTGCTGGTACCCTGTGTTTCGTTTATAATACAGTTTCTTTTTTGAGCTGTATTTCTTTTTTAAAAATGTTGAACGCCTACGACTCCAGCTGTTTGCAACACTCTCTGCATTGTCTTTAACCCCACCCTTCCCAGTACAGATATCGACACTGCTACGCATAGACCGTGTCTCTGACAAACCCCCCACTTTACACAATTCAAAGCACCTTTGTTCATCGTAAGGTTTGATACAAACCACTGGCTCAAAATGATTTTTATCACAATGTTTCAAGTATATTTTTTCTTTTGAAAGCATTGCACAATTACAAGTGTATTTGAGCCATTTTTCCCCACTGCAGATAAAAATGTCCACTCCAAGAGCATTTGCTGTCCCTTGGATTTCTACATCTGTGGCACAATGTCCTACATACTTCATCCGAGACTTCTCAATGTAGTCTGAAATTGAAGCAGATCCCCCAACTACTTTAGTTTGTTCTGCGTGATTCATCATATGCTTCACAACAGTCTTTCTAATCTTTCGATGGCTCTTCTGAGAACCACTGAGAACATGAGCTACCGCTCCGAAGAAACTATTGGCGTCCTCTTTAATTTTTTCGGTCTTACAGACCACACCTAGGGACCCAGTTACTGTAGGTCCCTGTACATCCTGCTTTTCAAAGTCTATATTACACTTTGTGCAAAGTGTTTTTGCCACTTCATTGCACAAAGGATTAAATTCAAGAGTGATTTTACTTACATCACTCTTTTCCACACAATCTGTGTCCCCAGCAGACGATGTACCATGCGTTTGTTCGGTAACCCTCCTTTTGCCCCTAGTTGTCCGTCTGACATTGTACAGTCTTGGACAAGAAGTGTCAAATTTGCAATACCCATAACAACTCTGCAAATTAGGTTGTTTTACACACACAACAGTCTCATAATGATTACCATTGCGGTTTTCCAAATAAACCCCCTGATTAGACAACTGCCCATTCTCGCAACTATATTTTAGCCAGCGTGGATCACAATATGTGAATATATTAACTCCAAACGCATCTGCTGCTGCTTGAATTTCTAATTCTGTTGCCCAACTGCCAACTTCCCGCATTTTGGATGTGCTGAGGTATTCTGACATGGAGGAGGTCAAAATACGCTCATAAGGCACAGCATTGCTCTGCATTTGATGAACCACTGCACGCCTAATTATTGTGTGATGCCTTTGTGTACCACACACAGCTTGACTCACTGCTCTAAAGAAACAGTTTCCGTCACCCTCTATTTTTTCATTGAGACATGGAGCCCCTATTAAACCAATTTGTGTAGACACAAAATCTACTTTTTCTGAATGCACATGTAACTGCTCACAAAGAGCTTGTGCAAGTTGATGACTAAGAGGATTAAACTGCAGTCGTCCACTTCTTACTTCTTTGACAAAAGCAACGTCTGAATTATCTGCGGTAACATCACTCTTTTTTAATTTTTTGCAAGCAGAAGATCCCTTACGAATCTTACGCTTTGCACCCATCTGAATGTTGGTGCAGCCAAGTGTGGACTGAATAGTTGAACTACAACCCAAATCAGTCTCTGTTGTTTTGGGAGTCACTCTTGGACCCAAAGACAGATTACTGCTTTCAATTGGGCCTATTTGAGTGACTCGAACACCAGCGATCTCAAACAGTTTTTGAGACTCAGAAGATCCCTTTGGAATGTTATGCTTTGCACCCATCTGAATGTTGGTGGACTGAATAGCTGAACTACAACCCAAATCAGTCTCTGTCGTTTTGGGAGTCACTCTTGGACCCAAAGACAGATTACTGCTTTCAATTGGGCCTATGTGAGTGACTCGGACACCAGCGATCTCAAACTGTTTTTGAGACTTCTTGAGGAACGCTGCAAATGTCCATATGTATTCAAACACGTGTTCAAGGCCTCTGAAATACAGAACAACACTACGCCCCTCGCCATCGCTCATCCCAGACGCACTGCGTGCATGGGAGTCGACCACTGCGTAGTGTCCACCTTGACCAATGATGGCACATGTAGCGCCATTCATTGTCAGAAAGCATGTGTCATATTTACTACACATGCTTTCCAGTGCGTATTTTAAAGTGGTTTGCACACCCTGATCAATGTTATCACCCTCAACCACATCCACATCTCCAGACACAAAGTCACTGTATTGAAACAGAAATCTTTGTCCGTCGATAATGGTCTCCTTGGGCAGATCTGGAATCGAAAGTAGACTGTATCCTCCACTGATACCTTGTTGGTCACGCAGGGAGGTGTACAGATTGTCACCAAGTACAACAACTTTATCCAGGTTGTCGGTCTGCCATGTAAACACGCTGTCAATGTTGTGTTTGGCTATGCCTACCAAACTGACAGCCATGCACTGAAGTCCTGCATATTTAAAGCGTTGATCACCCTGACTGAATGTTCCCCTGACACACCCCATATCCCCATCAATGACTCTAGCCGTCTCCGAATTAACTTCAGCTGCTTTCACAGAAAGTCTTGTAATGCTAAACTTCTGTGCATTCAATGAATTATTGAGATTCCTGATGTAAAACATCAGGTCATTAAGACATGTGTTGAACACGGCTACAGATGTGCCATAACTGGATGCTAACCCAGACGCAGCACGTGTGCCACAATCAACGACCACAATACAGTCATTGTGTTGAATAATGACACTGGCTGCGGAATTTAGGCTAAACAGACACATGCCATCCCTGGATAAGTGTTCAAGCAGCTTCTCCGACAATACCTGTTCCCCTTCAGACAAATTCAATTCGCCGTACACTGGCAGACCCATATTGACGTTCCACTTACGTCCAAACACACTGGTCTGCTCAACCAACCTGCACAAGTTCTTTGGCTTTACATTCATTTTATGGGCTTCCCCTAATACAAACGAGTTAAGCTTTGACCCTGCAACACGTATGGCATCGATATCTGTACTGCTCCACGAACACACAGGCGCAATCAAATGTTTGATCGCAGCCGCTATAGAACATGCAACAGATATTTTATTGTCAGAAACGGATGCATACCTCACAACAGTCCCTGCGACAACAGCCAGCTGCACTTTTTCTGAACACATGCAAGCATAGCCCTTACCTGTTCTGCATCCGTTGTCCTCATCAACATCCACTATCACGCTGGGTGATGGCTCCTTGCTGGATGATGGCTCCTTGCTGGATGATGGCTCCTTGCTGGATGATGGCTCCACGCTCAGTGATGGCTCTGCGCGGGGCAATGGCTCCACTCCTGGAAATGGCTCCACTCCTGGAAATGGCTCCACCCCTGGAAATGGCTCCACTCCTGGCAATGGCTCCAACCCCGGCAATGGCTCCTCCTAGAAGAAAATTCATATATAAAAAAACTGCTAAAAACACTATGTGTCTTAAATTGTTTCACAAACGTTTAACTAAATAATAGAAAGATATACAATTACTAATACAAAATGATTATTGTTATATATTAACTTTTGTTTTTCTACTTACCCACACACATACTGAATGGAACTCAAAAGAGAGGTTTCTTGTCATTGATTGTGTACACTTGAAACAACGTTGACTGCATGCAGGCTAACAACTGAAACTATTTTATTTTAACAATGAGCAAAAGTAACTATGTCAATAAATTAGCATGATTCATTCAAATGTCACTCTGAAAGCACATCGTTCACACAAAGAGCACAGACCTGCTGCTCCACAGCAACTGTCCCTCTACTGGTAGGTGGCCGTAAAATCACCTCCACAACAATGGGAGCTGCCTCCCCCTAAAAAAACAAAACAATTTAGTAAACTTGAGAATAAATAACACCACCGATATTCGTGTAACTTCTTAGTTTTAAACAAGTCCTATATTGCCTTTAAAAAAGAAGAAAACAAGAACAACCTGTCGCTTTGCCAGGGTTTTCTTGGAGGCAGGAGCCCTCTGCTTCAGCTCCAACTTTGCTTTCTAACGTAAGGAAAACAAAATGATTAATCCTCCACTAATAACTCCTTATGGACAGTATAAGTTGTCCTCACTGTAATACATTTAAAGTTTGTCTCACCGTATGCCGTTTCCATGGCAACGAATCCCTCACCAAAAAACACGAAGTTGTCTTAAGTCAATGGAAAACCTTCCAAACTGCACCAGACTTCAGATGACAGTTAATGGTCCATGACTCAACAGCTCTACGCAAAATATGAGATCTCACCGTATGCCGTTTCCATGGCAACGCACCCCACGCCGTAAAACACGATGTTGTCTTAATTCAATGGAAAAGGTTCAAAACGGCACCAGACTTCAGATGACAGTTAATGGTCCGGCCCTCAACACATTAATATGACAAAAGTGAGTTTTCCTCAAAAGCTGTTTCCATGGCAACGCATCACTCGCCATAAAACACGGTGTCGCTGTAACTCCAATGGACACGGTCCCATCGTCCCCCAATCTTCACTTTTATATCACCGGTCCATGCCTCAACAGCTCTAGGTGAAATCTGAGATCTCATCGTATGCCGTTTCCATGGCAACGAATCACTCGCCGTAAAACACGACGTTGTCTTAAGTCAATGGAAAACCTTCCAAACGGCACCAGACTTCAGATGACAGTTAATGGTCCGGCCCTCAACAGCACTATGCCAATTATGGGATGTCATCATATGCCGTTTCTATGGCAACGAATCACTCGCCGTAAAACACGATGTTGTCTTAAGTCAATGGAAAAGCTTCCAAACTGCACCACACTTCAGATGACAGTTAATAGTCCGGCCCTCAACAGCTCTACGCGAAATCTGAGATCTCACCGTATGCCGTTTCCATGGCAACGCATCACTCGCCATAAAACACGATGTCGCTGTAAATCCAATCGACACGGTCCCATCGTCCCCCAACCTTCACTTTTATATCACTGGTCCATGACTCAACAGCTCTACGCGAAATCTGAGATCACACCGTATGCCGTTTCCATGGCAACGCATCCCACGCCGTAAAACACAATGTTGTCTTAATTCAATGGAAAAGCTTCCAAACTGCACCAGACTTCAGATGACAGTTAATGGTCCGGCCCTCAACACATTAATATGACAAAAGTGAGTTTTCCTCAAAAGCTGTTGCCATGGCAACGAATCCCTCGCCATAAAACACGGTGTCGCTGTAAATCCAATGGACACGGTCCCATCGTCCCCCAATCTTCACTTTTATATTACTGGTCCATGACTCAACAGCTCTACGTGAAATCTGAGATCTCACCGTATGCCGTTTCCATGGCAACGAATCACTCACCATAAAACACGATGTTGTCTTACGTCAATGGAAAATGTTCCAAACTGCACCAGACTTCAGATGACAGTTAATGGTCCAACCCTCAACAGCTCTACGCCAATTCTGAGATCTCATCGCATGCCGTTTCCATGGCAACTAATCACTCGCCATAAAACACGATGTTGTCCTAACTCACTGGAAAAACGTCCAAACGGCACCAGACATCAGATGATGGCTAATGGTCCGGCCCTCAACACATCTAGGCGTATTATGGGGTGTCATCAAATTCCGTTGCCATGGCGACAGATCACTCGCCATCAAACACAATGTTTATGATACTGCTGTAACTCCCATTTACGTTGTCCGATCGGCCTGAAACTTCCCACGTTTGCCAACGGCCGAGTCCGGAAAACTCCTGCATGATACCTCGACGTGCGGACAACAGCCTGCGGAGCGTCGAAGACCCGCTCAACGCTGCTTGCAGCTTTAATTTTAACTGATATTATATATATATTAATTATACTCTTATGTATGTAGATAGTATAAGACATGTGCAGAATTTGAGTTTAATGGTGGAGGAATACACACATATTGATAGATGTCTTGTAATGCACTGTTGAGGAACCTGTGACCCAAGTTTTTCATTAATTGCATAACTTCAACATAGTGGTGTATATGATATGTCAATAAACCTTAGAAAATCTTGAAAGGGATGTGCAAAATAGCTATTATATACAGTTTTTAATTAACTATTAGTAGAGAATAACGAGTAATGAATATACTTTATAGAGATCTGCAGATAAATGTTTAGTCTTCTCAAGCACCAACTAATATCTCTCCTGATTGTTGGCACTTGACAATCACCTTTCCCTGAATTTTACTCAGGTGTAACTAAAGTCTGCTTTAAGGGTTGTTTATATTTCACATCATTAATCAGAATCTGCAAAGTAACTAAAATAAATGTAGTGGAGTAAAAATACCATGGTTAACCTCTGAATTGTAGTGGAGTAGAATTACAAAGTAACAATGAGCTGGCATGTGGGTATATATTAATGCTTCCCATTATGGACACAAGCGATTTTCACCCATTTATTAATTACATGTTTTACATTTGTACACACCAATTTGTTTCCTATCCCCTAAACCTCCAGGGCTGTACAGTTTAATACTGTCAACTTCTAATTTTGGGAAAAACGAAAACGTCTTTTAAAACTACAATTCTCAGTAGAGACGTGCCATAGAACATGTTGCGAAACACAATAGCCAGCATGTGTAGTTCTGGGGGGGCGTTCGAGTCCAGTTTTGGAAAGTCTGCCGTGGTTTCGTTCCATTTCAAAGAGCTGTTTGGCGCTCGGCGTAACCTTGGCGCACTGCCACTCCAACATCCAATCCCAGAGCTTGAAGATTAATCACGGGGTTTGTCAACGGGACTGTAGTCCCAAACGATAGCTGGGGATTATGGGTAGTGTAGTGTCTTCGGCCATCCTAAACTCTGGTTGCGTTCGAATACTCCAAAACAACAGCTCCTAAGTTCTAACCCTATCGTCTATTCCTTGACCTCGGAGTGAAACGTCATGGGGTTAAGGGATAGTGGATAGGAGAATTCAAAAGGATTTAGGAGAAGAGACTGCGGCACTTTAGAGAATCCGACTGCACTTTCACTATCCGACGTGTTTATGATGCGCCAGCAGAGGTCATAAATGTGCGCCTGCTGCGGTGGGGAAACTATGGAAACTACAGTTTTCTATACAGCGGACTACAACATGGATGTTTAATAAGAACGAGGGACTACTGTAAACTCATCTAGAGACTCTGCACCGTGCTCTGATGCTGTTATTTTATGCTTTATGAACGGGGACAACAGAGAAACATATTCTTCATGACCAAAGTTGGAATTGAAATAAAAAAGGAAAGTGCAACTTATGCTCGTCACCCTCTCCCTCCGGTCCACATTAATACAAATGATCCCAATAGCCTACTGTACGTATGATTGTATGAAAAGATCTTAAAATAAATACAAATGTATTTATTATAAACGTTAGTCCTTAACATCTATCACTGTGTATATCACCATTCAAACATCTTTTAAAAGTTGAACAAACCCCACACAGCTCAGTAAAGACTGTGAAATGTTGACTTTATTTGATCATTTCAGTAAAAACTAACGTTCATATTTCTCTTTTTGATTATAATACTGATGAACGTTCAAAACAAAGCACTTTGGCAACTTACCACATACGTTTTAAAATGCTTAATAAGCACCGTAACTTTCATGATATCATTTCTCGTTCATAATCGGTTGTTTCCGTGAACGGCTGACTGTTGTGTGACGGTAAATGCTGCGGCTGCAAGGCATTGTGGGGCAGCATTTTCTCCTCTCCTTTCGGTTAGGGAGGTCCAGTGGTTCCTAGGCTAAAGGAGGTTATAAAGGAAGTTTGAAACCTCCTTTCCTTTTAATTTAGAGAATTCGAACGGCACTTATCATGGCTGCCACTGAGGGACTTCCGGGTCATTTCACTCCGTTAGGAAGGTTCCTAAGCTAAATGGACTATTCGAATGCAACCTCTGATTCTTTTTTCGGATTTCATATCGCATTAACACCATATCCCGATGTGCATTGCGGCTAAAACATCCAATCAGCGAGCTGATGATCTTTCCTACGTCACTTTACAGCCCTGCCCACTTTTGGGGAAACCAGCTGTCATTTGAACGGCGATCAAGCCTGAAGCCACAGAGCTCTTCTGTTGTATACTGTCCTTTCTTCTTAGAGGAAGTACAGAAACACGTAACTCTGGATTTGTTTTAATGTTTGAGGTGCAATAAACGACACAGCAGCTTTTTGGCATGTTAAAACTATTATTTTCTGCCTCGCAGCTGGCGAAATTACAGCCTCGCCTACTGATTTTAATTTAACCATAGGATATCAAGCCCGATCGTCGATTTCAAATGTGTGCTCTAAAATGATATTAATAAATTACTATTATCATTATTATAAGCTAGAAAAGAAATGTCAAAGATAGGTAGAAAGCAAACGTATTTAAGATATGTTCAGAACAAACGTAACGTGGGACAAAATACGTTTCTTGTTAAACGTAATTGAGAATGCTGTATGAAACGACTACAAACAATATTGTGATTATTAACCATTAACCAGCATAATAACGGATTTGGTCAACTGAACAGTGAGCCGCCAGCCAGCACGAAAATAAGTTTGCTCTAAAATGATATTAATAAATTACTATTATCATTATTATAAGCTAGAAAAGAAATGTCAAAGATAGGTAGAAAGCAAACGTATTTAAGATATGTTCAGAACAAACGTAACGTGGGACAAAATACGTTTCTTGTTAAACGTAATTGAGAATGCTGTATGAAACGACTACAAACAATATTGTGATTATTAAGCATTAACCAGCATAATAACGGATTTGGTAAACTCAACAGTGAGCCGCCAGCCAGCGCGAAAATAAGTTTGCTCTAAAATGATATTAATAAATTACTATTATCATTATTATAAGCTAGAAAAGAAATGGCAAATATAGGTAGAAAGCAAACGTATTTGAGATACGTTCATAACAAACGTCATGTGGGAGAAAATAGGTTTCTAGAAGATATGTAGAAAATAAACGTATTTAAGATATGTTCATAACAAACGTAACGTGGAAGGAAATACGTTTCTTGCGAAACGTATTTGAGAATGCAGTTTAGTTTTGTGGGAACGTAATTTCTAGGAGACAGGGTTAAGCCCATGGTGAGCACGACACACTAAAAACTGAACCTGTTAAAATCCAATTAAAGGATGGGGCTCAACCATATGCAGTGCATACAGCACGTCGTGTGCCCTTCCCAATGTTACAGATGGTAAAAGAGGAACTGCAGAGGATGGAGAAGAACGGTGTCATTGAGAAGGTGACACAGCCAACTGAATGGTGTGCTCCTATGGGGCCAGTTCTAAAGAAAACCAAAGGCAAAGCCAGGATCTGTGTGGACCTGAAAAGGTTAAATGAGTCAGTAAAAAGAGAGCGCTACATCTTACCTACCTCTGATGAAATAACTGCCAAGTATCCTGGTCTATGGGACATCAACAGAACAGCACAACGCCAGACTCGAGAAGGTAAAAACGACCATGAGCTGAAAAGAGTCCTGGGCATGGTGAACTACCTGGGTAGGTACGTTCCAAACCTTTCCACAATAGGTCAACCACTGTACGAGCTTCTGAAGAGCAGGAACATCTGGACCTGGGGTCACTCACAGCAGTCAGCTTTTGAGAACATTAAGAAGATGCTGACCACGGCACTATCATCTACATCTATGATGTAGCTAAAGCCACAGCTGTGTCTGCTGATGCCAGTAGCTATGGCCTGGGGGGGGGGGGTCCTCCTCCAGCTCCATGAAGAGGAGCGGAGGCCAGTAGCCTACTGTTCGAGGCGTCTCACAGAAGCGGAGACACGCTACGCCCATATAGAAAAGGAGGGCTTGGCTAGCGTATGGGCCTGTGAGAATTTCGACAAGTATCAATGTGGCTTGGATCAGTTCAGGCTGGAGACCGACCACAAGCCATTAGTGCCACTGATCAACAAACAAAGCCTAGACAACGTCCCCTTGAGATGTCAGCGTCTACTAATGAGGCTCATGAGGTACAAACCTTTAGCAGAGCATGTGCCTGGGAAGACCCTTGTTGTCGCCGACACACTGTCCCGAAGCCCACAAACACATACAAAGGAAGAGACTGATACTCAAGAAGATGTGGCATGCTATGTAGCCACAGTGATACAGGGCATCCCAGCATCTCCAACGAGAATGGAGAATATCAGAAAAGAGACAGCAGCAGACAGTGAGCTTCAGGCTGTCATCAAGCTGATTAGGACAGGATGGCCTGAATACAGTAGTAATGTTCCACTGAACATCAGGGACTACACCAAAGTGAGAAATGAGCTATCGGAAGCTGATGGCTTATTCATACGAGGAAACAGGATCGTGGTTCCGGGGTCACTGAGAGCAGACATTTTGCAGAAAATACATGAGGGACACCAGGGGCTCTCAAAATGCAGAGAAAGGGCGAATGCATCAGTTTGGTGGCCGGGGCTCTCTGTAGACCAGGGGTCGGCAACCTTTTTTATATGAAGTGCCATTACAAAAAAAAATTGTTAT